GATTTAGCTTACTGACGCATATTCGACTAATGACGAACAAGTGTATTTGTTAGTTGAGGATGTAAATTTGCGTAAATTCGCCTCATCTTATCACACTTACTCATCACTGCGTCCACCTCACCGAGGTTGCGAACGGTTAGGGTAAAGGAGAATAACTGCACTAAATAGTATTTATATTTATGTGAAATATTAGGAAACGTTCTTCATCAGTAACTTCTCACTGAGTGGCCATAATGTTTATAGAAGATTATGTTCACTTCATATCATCAAATCAATGTGCACCTTGATGTCCAGCTACCTAGAATGGTGGCCACATTGCAAACCTGACTGATAAAATTCAGTCTGCACCAAAGAAAGGACCAGAAACGTCACACTAGTTACTAGTGTCTAATCAAAATACTTTACGTGTGTGTCCAGCTGAAACCACACCCAGTGTAAATAGGCTTATCACTTCTGCAGCTTGGTGGAAGTACCTTCAGCATGTAATAAACCCTGTTGAAATGACCAAACTCATTGACTGACTTTCGCTTTTTACCTGAAACAGGGCCCAACCACATAATTACTGATCATGTTATAAGTGATGCAGACACACAAATTCTTTATAACTTTCCCTTTTAGCAGACAAAGTGGACATTCGCGCAACACAAAAGTCCTTTGAACTACAATCGGATATCACGTCTACATCAGGGATAATGTATGTTGGCAAATGCTACAATAGCCTTTTGTATACTTGCTGAGATCTCGTCACCTGTCAGTCCATCAGGGTTGATGCAACTTCCAAAATAACCATTTTACTCCCTATCCTCGAACTAAGAGTTGATTTAGACCAGCCGTGCAGCTTTATCATAAATTTAAACAGGGGTGAGTCATATAGGGGACAGACAAAGATTTCTGATTAAAGTGTTCAGAATGTTCTACATAATGTCACCGTCCTCACCCAGATAGACTATACTATCTTTACACTCTAGATCAATGAAACTCCCTGATGATAAGAGATCAATTTTCAAGTCTATAGGAGCTACATTTTTTAACACGCCTATGATGAAAACAAACAAAAATCGGGAAAATGGAACAAATGATAGACACCACTGGCTGTAGTTACTTCAGATTATAACTCTCCATAAACAATAGCAAGGCTGGGTGAGTTTTAGTACGGTGCTTTAACTGACGTATCATACTCTCTGGACAATCCTTCGGCAGACAGCCATTGTTACAATACGTCAGAGAAACTGGTAATTATAATCAATTAAGGTTGATGGTAATTGTTAGTCTTCCTTGTAATTTGGAATAATCACTGATTTACATCTCAGATTCCCACGTTGCCTAATATATTGGACAACCTAGTTTTTTATATATTTTTTTATATTTTTGATTACAGCTTGATTCCACACTGTATTGTTGGTACAAGTATGGAATTTTCAGCATGGATATCGGTAGCCCAAATTTTGCAGGCCGACCATAGATATCAAGTGTGCGTCGGCAGGGGATCGAACCCCGGACCATATGCATGGTCGGCGAGAATCCTAACCACTGTGCCACCGACGCACAGTTAGCAGATTGTCACCACCATCCTTAGATACACTTACAATCATGCTATTAAATCCTTTTGCTTCCCTCCACAGCCAGTCAACGGATACTAGGCAACTTTTGTGTGCTTGCGAGACATTTGAGTCTCTCTGCAAAGTGCTTTCACCACTGTTACACTTGTATACTCTGAGAGGTTTTCATAGTACTGTTCTTCTTGGAAATCATATCAACCACCACTAGTTCACTACAGCCTTTTCCCCTAATGAGTCTAAATAATCATCTGGTATCACATACATCTGATACCTTCCCAATCTCTCCCGATTTTCCCAACTACCACTGTTCACAGACCTGCGGAAAACTCAAAGTCAGGTTATATTTGTTTGAAAATCTACATTCATTGTCTCATCCTGGAGTACGTGCTACGGTCAAGTTAATCAGTGAGCGTTTCGTTTGGCCCAAGATGAACTCCGATATTCGGAAATGGGCCCGCCAATGATTGCAATGTCAAAGATGCAAGGTACATCATCATACCGTCACACCTCCATAGCAGTTCAATTTACCGGGTAGACGATTCCAACACGTGCATATAGATATTATTGGACCATTACCGCCATCCAGAGGGTTTACTCATATACTTACTGCTATTGATCGATTTACCCGATGGGCTATTGCTTGTCCACTCAACGACATATCTGCAGAAAATACCTCTTTGGTTTTCTTAGATCGTTGGGTGTCAAACTATGGAGTACCAACAACTATTACAACAGACCGAGGAGCTCAATTTCAATCAACTCTGTTTCGAGAGTTTACGAGACTCCTTGGAGTGAACCATATCTCCACTACAGCTTATCATCCTGCAGCGAATGGTCTGGTGGAACGTTTCCATCGACAACTGAAAAGCTCCCTAATGGCACAAGCTGACTCATCTAAGTGGAGTGAACACCTACCATTAGTTCTTCTCAGTATCCGATCAACTGTCAAAGAAGATTTGGGATGTACACCAGCTCAACTTGTGTATGGTACTACCCTCACATTGCCTGGTCAGTTAGTTCCGTCTAATGATTCCACTGATGTAAATATCTCCGACTTCACCAACCGCCTTACCCAGCAGATGCTTCAGCTTCGACCAGTAGCCCCTCGCCAATCACTTCAGAAAGCTCAAGTTAGCAAAAATCTACTCACTTGCAAATTTGTATTTGTTCGCGTCGATGCCATTAGAAAAGGTTTACAACATCCATATGAAGGTCCTTTTCTAGTACTTAAACGCACCGATAAATACTTCACGCTGAACAAACATGGTAAACCGGAGACTGTTTCTATTGATCGTCTTAAACCAGCGTACACCGACAGCGAATATGAAACACTAGCAACGCCTGCACCAATAAACAATGAGAAAGTCAATGCAACTCCAACTCTTCCGCTCTTCACATTTCCCCCTGTACAGACACGCAGTGGACGGCAGATCTATAAACCTGCCCGCTATGTTCATTTTATTGACTGACATAAAAAAGTACGCTAACCTCATTTAGACATTCTTCTCATTACTATTTTTGTCGACATTCATTTCATTATAACCATAAATATTTATTAGTATTATTGTTTGCTGTTTGTTAACTGTACTGCAAGCACACCCATTCACCAAGTATATGTATCCATCTATATATTTATGAATTTCGCAAATGCTAACGACCACGTCATGGTCTATTATGTACATAAATTTTTTATTTAAAATTATAACAAGTTTTGATTTTTTTAAATTCCTGAATCATGCTTGCATGTGCTAAACTTTATACGACACAGATGCATTGCATACATCCTGATCTAATTTTGTATCCTTATTATTGCTGCTGTTATTTTTTGTTATCCTTATTGTTGACATTATCCATTATTTATATTGCTCATATTCATGTAATCGTCCACGAGGACAGTACTGATGGTCCTCCGGACCTCTAAGAGGGGGAGCCGTGTGGAGTCCTCAAAACTAAACTTATCCAATTTTTACTACTATGTAAGAAATGAACATATTGTACATTACTTTGTTTTAACCATAAACTCTGTACTTTGAACTTTACCTCGGGTTTTGAATAAATATATAGTTCTGCCTTCGACTCTCCGTCTTCTCCACCATTTCAACTGCCATCGATCAATTCTAACCACCTGATTTCTATCTCAAATTTTCACGGGAACACCGTAGTTTCTTCCTACGTACTTTGGTCGACCTCTGGCAACGTCAACATTGGAGAGTTAGTACTGGAGCAGTCTTCCCGCAGCACCTCTGGAGTCTATTACGTTTATTGTGGATTTTGGATCTTTGTAAACCCAAGTAACGAGACTTTAATATATTCTTCCTGTAACTAAACTGATTTGGTATTTTATTTTCTATTTGAATTTGGGATACTACGCTAACAGATTAAAAGGTCCACCACAAGTGTATTTAATCTCTCAATTCCTTCATAATTACATTTGGATTACACTGATTAGTCATCCTTATTAGTGATTTCAGGTTGCTGAGCAAATTTCAATCTTATGAACCACAACCTTCTTGATTTACTATGTGACCTTGTAAACTAACACTATTTATTGGATTCTCCTGTATTCCCCTCCCCCTGCCACTCGTTTTCTACTTTGAAAGTATATGAATTGACGGTAACTTAAACTAAAAATTGTGATGCTTGCATTTCAGATGAGTTAACTTTTACAACATTTTCTCTACTTCCATTCAAACATTGAAGCGTGTTATTTTCATTCTGTTGTAACCATTGTAATTTCAGGTAGTCTGTAGGTGATGAGAACTTGTGAAACAGAGTGACGTTATTCTGTAGCAAAAATTTGATCTTCTTTGCTTTATCGAAATAAATAATCTTCAACTGCCACCACAACCAGCTAAAAGATACTTTACTGAAAGGGATAAAACCTTGGGAAATAAACATAAGCCAAAAAAACTACCATGAACTACAGAGTAATATGGATTGCTCATCTTCTCTCATATTATTGACTTAATTAATTAAAATGTTTGAATGCCATTGGAGTATGACTTCAGTAATACAAGTAAACAGACAACACTCTAAGAAATCAACTAACAAGTCTGAAAGAAAAACAAATGCATAAAATACTTTTAGAATACGAAAAGAAAGATAATCTAAAATGTATCCTATAATATGTAGTCTATGTATAACCTATACTTTTAATGAGGTGTATACCAGTCTTAGTAACTATCTGCGTGTAACTGACAAATATATTTTAAATTTACATATAAGAAGGAATATTTCCTGTACAGTAATATACTATTTATATATTTTTACAGGTATACTCATTTAAAATTGTCTGACAATTCATTGGATTCGATATTTGATATTCAGACAGTAAAAGGAGATAGGCATCATTGAACACTTTGCCTTCTGTATCCATTCCACCATGGATAAAGAAATAATCTTGACAGTAAGCATCAACGTCATCATCATCATCATCATTACTTTTTTCTTCGTCATTGCCTTCTCCTTCTTCGTCTTTATCGTTAGTATCACCTTTACTTTGATCATCTAAGAATAAAGCCAAAGAAGAAAAGTTTTGTAATGATCACTGCTATAAAATAAAACTTGTCAATATTAAATAAGATAATTCAGTAATTATTGGACATCTGTCTAATTTGCATACTAAAGATCGGATGGCCAGTCAGAAAGGACTAGCCACAAGAAATTCTGGGAAAAAAACCCAACTAAAACCCAATAGCCCAATATATACGCTCAAAGAAATGCAGATGGATTGAACACACTCTAGGGAGACCATCGAGTGACATCATGAGTCAGACAGACTTTCGAGTGGAACCAGAATGAGAAACGACGAGTCGGGTGTTCGAGGATGATGCGAGGAGGAGATGAAAGCCTGTGGTCAGTCCTAAAGTCAGGTGAAGAGGATCGCAGAGAACAGATTGAAGTGGCGATGTGTTGCTGAAGCTATATGTCCCACTCAGAACTCAAGAGAATAAGTGATATGCCTTGTTGAATTTTCGAAAGAATATGAATAAGAATTAACTGCAATACTGAGAAAAGTTGTTATTGCATTTAAAATCTACTATTATTTGCAATTAGTAGTGTTCTCTGAGCTGATTGGTTTAGTTGCGGAGTCTTCGTCGACCTTCTGGACAACATCTTCAGCGCAATTTTTAGCATAAAGTGAACTGATTTAAGTTTTTCATGAGTGATAGAATTGCGTTTCCCGGTAACCACCTTTACATATGCATTGAACATTTTTTATTGACTTGGATTTAAATTTTCTCGTTGCACGATTTACTTTTTATTAGTTGATATATTTGGTCTATATTGACATGTTTGTTAATTGCATATTCGTTTGAGTACCAGCCTTCTAGGAATTCCCTGGGCGTCCCCTTCAAATCAGAATCCAGGAACACAAATCAGCTGTGAAAAAACATGATATATATTCTTTCATATCAATGCATACAGATAACTATGGACATCAGTTTGATTGAGATAATGTCGAAACTTTAGACAGAGGAAACACCAAAAGTGCCAAATTAATACTCAAGATCAGATGGCCGGCCAGAAAAGATCAGCAACAGGGATCTCTGGCAATCAGCGAACCAAACAGGAACCGATTGTGAAACATATAGGCAGAAAGAAATGGAGATGGATTGGCCATACTCTGAGGAAACCGTCAAGTGACATCACTAGACAAGCCACTGCTCGAGTGGAACCCGAAAGGGAAGCGGCGAGTTGGCCGTCAGTGCGAGGGTGACTTGGAGGAGGTCATGTGAAGAGGAGATGAAAGCATGTGGGCAGACTTGGAGCGGGGTGAAGAAGTTGGCAGAAAACAGAAGGCAATGGAGATGCGCAGCTGAAGCCGTATGTTCCTCTAGGAATTAAAGGATATAATAATAATACCAACTAATAAAAAGTAAATCATACAATGAGAGAGTTTAAAATCCAAGTCAATAGAAAATGATCAATACATATGTAAAGATGGTTACCAGGAGATGAAATTCTATCACTCATGGAAATTTGAATCAGTTCACTTTATGCAAAAAAATTGCGCTGAAGATGGTGTCCAGAAGGAAAACGAAAGCTCCGCAACTAAACCAACCAGCTCAGAGAATACTACAAATTGCAAATTACCCACCTTAGCTATAAATCTTCTCTGTTATTTCAAAATCTACTAATATGTTTGAATATGATATAAGTAGCAGTAAATCATTTATTGAACAATTAGGTATTCTGCCTAAACTGCGGCAATCTACATACTGAACAGTCATTTGGGTGACAAAAGGTGAAGCATATATGCTAAGAGTGACTTTTGAACCGGAGGGTCCAATCATTTCAAAGCAGCATAATTCTTGCCACCAACTTAACTGGAATAGTAGTTTCGTATCACCCGTTTGCAAGTTGCACAGTCCAAAGTAAAGCTTCACTGTTGCCTCCTATAACTCTTGAAACCAAATTAGTACGCTGACACTACTGACAAGCTCGGCTTCAATGCAGCAAAACGACCTAGTTGGTGAGCACTATTAGTTTTCGTTTACTCATAAAGATTATTGTCATGTATCTGTCACTTTTCTGCTCCGAAATTTAACATCATTCACGTTAGCAAGCAAACCAACACATATTTTGCATAATTTCTAAGCCCCCATGAAGAAATTTCACCTTGGACTGCGCCATTTGTAAACAAAAGCTTTGGTGTTACTCAATACTACAATCACAGAGAAATCTAATTAGTATTTTCCATCAATCGACTGAAAGACCACTGGAACTAACTAATGACTAGGGGATAAGACCAATCATGTAGAATGACTAAGTTTCGAAGAAATAGGAAAAAATAAAAATTAAAGGTAAAGAAAAATATGTTGCTGTACCTTTTGATGAATTTCTTGTCAACTCCATCAATTTAATTTTCGCATTTTTCTTCTGTACTGTCAACGTGACTACACAATATGCAAAATCTAAACGTGGAGCAGGCAATACACCTGTCTCACACTTGATTTCACTCCACTGTTTCAAATCTAATTGCAAGTGTAAAGCAAGGCAAAAATGAAAAAACAACAACATATTGTTATGGTTGAAGACGCGAGACTTGGTAAAGGAATGTTTATTTGGCACTTGGTTTCTCTATATGAGCGAAATTATGTACACCTTATCTCTAAATCGACATTTACACAGATCTTTTATGATATGCTACTTCTGCTCTTCGTAATGTGTTTAGCTGTTTTCTTTTCGTGTCTTCATGTTTTGCTGCAAAACTGCTTCACCCCTCTTTGACGTCAAATCTATCTCTCCTTTATCTGGTATTTTATGCCGGTAAACGTCTGTTTATATACTATTGACAAATCTTATCAGTAGCATACTCCACAATATAATAAAATAAAAGTATCACAGAGACAATAAACAATTTAAAGTTGTCTAATACAAGGAATTACTACTAAGTGATATAGACAGCTGCTAAATGTTCACACTAAACAACAGTGAATATAAATCAGATCATTGCATTTGAATCTCCGTTAATCAGCAATATGATGGGACTATTGTTAACCATATATCTGTTGTACGTCGGTGAATTGATGGTAGAATGCTACCCTAGTCATGCTAGTTGTCCAGGTTCGGTTCCCCACCGACAAGCACTCCTAAACCTCGCCTAGCTTACATATCGATAGTAAGCCTGACAAAGAGGCAAGGTTGAATGTGACGCTAACAACTTCATACGGTAAAAACAACACGACAAACACAACTCAAGTTTGAAGCACCATGTTCCGCTGGGAACGTAAAGCAAGGGAAAATATATATCTATCATGTAGACAACAAGGTCAATTATGAATTGATAGTCAACTTTTAGTATTGTGAAGCATTGCCCACAACATTTCTCAATGTTGCTGAACATAACTTTTATTAAATTGAGTTAATTCTGAAATCACATGTTTGGAAGTAATCGGTAGAAGGCCATGAACCTTGATTTCGTGCCTGCAATCTTGAAGAAACTCATATACACTTTGATATTCGAGCCTGTGTCATCTAGTGCTACAACCACAAACGTTACTACTAGGCTATTCACACTAACAAATGACCTCCTGTAAAAGCGTAATGGATACATTGTTAGTTTCGTGTAGTATTTTCAGTTTCAGTGCAGTATTCAGTTCTCTTCTTTCAAGGCTTCTTAAATCAAATTCCCAGAATTATGTCGTAGTCTGTTTTACTTTTGTACCTTCAAAAAGTAAAACTAACAATTAAATACGTGGTATTTCCTCTTTGTCAGATAGTATTAAACAGAAAAGCACACAGAACTGCGATTAATTTCCATCATTTATATGATAAAACAGTTTTTGTACACCACTTTTCGTAGGACGCCTAAGTGAGGCATTTCTTTTATTTTTCAACTGAAATTTCTCCTCTGAAATGACGACAACCAGTGGTTTCACTAACGAATGTGCCTACTGTCTCCATTTTGTTTTGTTTAATTTCATCACAGATGTACTAAGAGTCATTTAGAGGTTAGGTTGTGACCAAGGTACAGTCTCGTCGACTTATGGTATGCGAATGATATTGCCCTCTAAGTAAAAGCACTGTGCGTCGGTGGCACAGTGGTTAGGACTCTCGCCGACCATGCACATGGTCCGGGGTTCGAGCCCGCACCGACGCACACCTGATATCTATGGTCGGCCTGCAAAATTTGGGCTACCGATATCCATGCTGAAAATTCCATACTTGTACCGAAAATACAGTGTGGAATCAAGCTGTAAATCAAAAATCAAAAAAAAAAAATCAAAACAACTTGAACTAAAATCCTTTTATGTTTGATATGCGATTCATCTCTGTCAAATGTAAGATGATGTCGCAGGAATCATCTGAAACATTTTATTGTTTAGGGATAGGGAGTAAAATAGTTGAACGTGTTGAACACTTCACTTATTTGAGAAGTTGCATCAACCCTAATGGACTTATAGGTAACGAAATATAAGAAATCATACAAAAGGCTCTTGTGGCATTTATCAAACAACGTGTGAAAGTGATATCCAGTTATCCATCAAAGGTTATGTATATTGGTCAGCAGTTCGCTTCGTCATCCTTTATTGCTGTGAGACATGACCATTAAAGTTGGAAGATATGAAAAGACTAGGTGTCTTTGATAGATGTCATAGATGTCTGCGTTCTGTCTCCCATATTAAGGTTGTATAATGGGGTGAGTAATATTGAGGTTTGGCGTCAAGTGTCTGATAAGGAGCGAAAGCCAGTCGATGAGATTGTGAAGCTATATCGATTGCGATGGCTGGGATATGTGTTACACACACCTTCATCGACGGGCAATGTTAGCCAACAAACGATTAGATTGGGAAAGAGTTACGGGTGGTCAGACCAAAATAAGGCATCACTTCATGATGTCTTTAACAGTTCGATTGAGACAGTCACATAGAATGTAGAGTGACTATTTGGGGTCGTCGGGGTGCTAAGATCTAATGACAGGAGACTGTTAGCGATTTGGCTCGAAATCATTTTCAGTGGCGCAGATGCATTCACTCTTTGTGACCTCCGATATCCACTAAATCCTCTTTCTTTTCCATGCTACTGTTCATTCCCTCGTACATTTCTGCTTATTATAGTTCCCTTGAATCCATTTTTCGTCTTTTGTTTACCTGTGTGCGCTACACAGAGTGTGGTAACTTGAACGGCTAAAATCCTGTCTAAAGTTCTCTGTTGAAACTTAGTCAGTGATATAGACTTCTCATCAAATAGAAATCTATATACTTTAGCTACACATATAAAATAAGTAGTATATTCATCGTTAAGTCTACTGCAAGTCGAACAAAGCTTTTTAGTTTGGAGTGAAATACGCTACCGTTGCACCACCCACACTAAACGCATATAATTAATATTGTATCAAAGTAATAGTGATATCAAACTGTAATTAGTCCCTTAATAATAATAACCTGAGGTTTATTAATTCTACAAACGATATAATTATGCATAAAGTGAAAAAATACTTCTTTCTGACTAACTTGTATCAAAGCAGAACATGTCATTTAAAGCTCCAGTTGTTGAAAATCCACCAAAAATAAATATTTTAGTCGTATCTGACCCAAATATTTTATTTGTTAGAATCGCTCCACCATGAGCAGCACGTGAATCAGGTGAAATATGACCTAAAGGTTTGAGATGTGGTGTATTTGATTTCTCATTTGAGTCTATTGCGTCAGCATCATCATCAGCATTAATATTAGGGTATAATTTACTCCATACACCTTTAAAGTGTACATCACCGTTATCACACTGAAAGAAAAAATTGAAAACATAAATATTTGAACACATATTTGAAGGATACATTCTGAAAGATGGAAAACACCTATTGAATCATAAAGGAAATTTTCTTTGTCGACGAAATCTTCTTTAGAGGTTGCACAACCATATTAATATTTAGCAAAACCTTATAGTAGTCTATTACTGAGTAACAGAGAGATGATATAATTGATAAAATTACTCAGAATTGGCTTCGAAATCAAAATATAAAAGTTGTAAATTACGTAATACTCAATAGGACAAAGGAAGAAACCGTTAGAAATTTGATGAGGTTGAGATTCTGAAGAACCACTTATCCGGACCACAGAAAAAAAACCTTTTCGGCTGAGCTACGAATCATTTTTTACAGCCTAAAAATGATCAGTGGATGTGTGAAGGATAAACTACCGCTTTGGGCCACTTCAATGTGTGTTTATAAGTTCACTTGTTCCTGTGGAGCTAGTTATATTGGCTGCACAAAGTGAATACTTTCCAAACTCATCTCCGAATATTATCCAGTATGGTTAACAAGAAGAAAGTTGCTAGCTCAATTCTCGAGGATTTGGCTACGCAGCTTCACCACAGTCGTCTTTTAAGATTATCTATAAGGTGAGAACGAATGATACTAGGGGTGTTAGGTTTTGACATTTGTAAATAGTGGTGGTTCGTCAATGCAATCCCGAAGTCTGTATATAGATAAAGTTTGTTTATTGTCTTATTCTATCATGGTGTTAATCTCTTTCCTAATCGTTAACTTTTATTTCTAATAATCACTTCACTATTATCACTCTCATACTTTCCTTTTGTACATTTGTTCATCCTTTTCTCATTGGTTACGCGGACACTCAACGACCTTTCTTCTGATTCAGTGGTAATTTTTAACCTTAGTAAATTTCAAACACTTTCCTCCATTGTACTGTTCGCCATTACGTAATTTTTAAATTTAGAATCCACTTCTGAGTAGTTAGATCAATGATGTCACTCCCCATATGTTTTCGGTAAATACAAATACGACTGCACAGCAACTGAAGATGATTTTGTCGATAATAGATATATTTTAAACATTCTTATCCATGCTAGTATTCTTTTATGTAATACTCACAAACAGTTATGAAATTACGCTTCGAACTGTGAAATTTTCAAGTAATTTGAGCTGATTCAACCCTGAGGTGAAGCTATCCGTTGATAAATTCGGTTCAAAAATGAAACAGACTACTACTATCAATTCACATTGTACACACTCTCCTGACATCGTCTTTAGTGTCCAGTAGATAAAATATTGTGGTCTGAATACTTTTGGTTTCCGATGGAAATTATGGTGAAATGTCATCTCGAACTTCCTCATTATTATATTATTATTGTATCCTTTAGTTCCTAGAGGAACATAGGGCTTCACCTGCGCATCTCCATTGCCTTCTGTTTTCTGCCAACTTCTTCACCCCGCTCCAAGTCTGCCCACATGCTTTCATCTCCTCTTCACATGACCTCCTCCAAGTCACCCTCGCACTGACGGCCAACTCGCCGCTTCCCTTTCAGGTTCCACTCGAGCAATGGCTTATCTAGTGATGTCACTTGATGGTTTCCTCAGAGTATGGCCAATCCATCTCCATTTCTTCCTGCCTATATGTTTCACAATCGGTTCCTGTTTGGTTCGCTCATTGCCAGAGATCCCTGTTGCTTATCTTTTCTGGCCGGCCATCTGATCTTGAGTATTGAGCGAAGACAGCTGTTAATGAAGGTCTAAAGTTTGTTTGAGATGCTCTTTATGACTCGCCAAGTCTCTGATCCGTATAGTAGCACTGACTTTACATTGGAGTTGAAAATCCGGATCTTATTTTTGATGCTGAGTGCTGTTGACCTCCACACAGACTTGAGAGTAATGAAAGCTTGTCTTGCTTTCCCGATTCTGGCTTTGATATCCTCGTCGGTTCCGTCCGCCTGTAGTTAAGACGATGCTTCCCAGGTAGGTAGGTGAAGGAGGCTGTTTCTTTCAGGTTCCTCCCATTTATTCTGATTGTTGTCTGTTGTTGTTTTTGATGTTGGCCAGGAATTTTCATCACCTCTGTTTTATCTATGTTCACTTGAAGTCCTATCGTTGATGTTTCTTCTGCAATTTGTTGCTTTCACTTGGATATCTTCCAGTTTGTGGGAAATCAGTGACCTACTCAGATACTTTATTTACCCAAATGCATCATGTTTAACTCCATTTAATATTGTTTTAACCATAAAATTATGTCTAAGAACTCAATGTACACTCAGGTACATTTTTAAGTAGGTCTCAACTAGCTGCTACAAATTTTCTCAAGAAAATAAAGGAGAAACATTGTGGATTATTGAAGCACACTTCGGATATAAAACATTATCGCCCCAGTTGGTACATTATCGTTGATTATAATACTTGAAGATTCTGAACAAGGAGAAAAAATACCTTGCCATAAGAAACTTGTTGAAAATTCTGTATTGTGCATAATCGCATTTTTTCCGAATAAAACTATTATCATTTTTTTCAAAACTTAGTTTCAAATGACCAGTTTTATTAAATTAATAAGAAGATACAATAAAATATTGGATTATATTAAAATATAATTAAATAGTTATTGTCGATGCCGAAAAGTTAGAGTGAAAGGGATAAAACACTGATGATCATTTCAATAATCAATGAATACGCTACCACTCATATAGATTATGCAATCGGTAATATGCTGTATTATGATGTATGCTATTGATATGATTTATCAGTAGTATGTTATAAGACGTTCATCGGCATTAATACATCAAATAGCAGGGAGATAGATTTGATGTCGTAGAAAGCAAATGATACAGCGTTGCCAAGAGATACATGGGAAATGTGAACGGAACACAAAGAAACATAATATAAAGGAAGACCAGAAGTAGCACAGCACGACAGATCTATGCAAGTGGCGCGTTGAAGATAAGGTGTACATAATTTCGCTACATAAAGAAACCACATTCCCAAAATAAACATTCCTTTACTAAGTCCCTTGTCTTCTACTGTTACAGTATGGTGGCGAGCTTAGTTATAATAATAATATTGACAATATACCAAAACAGTACGTTTGATATAATATGAAGTTTTCAGCATGTAGTACAATATTGTATCTAATTTTCTTTTCACGTTATAAAGTAAAGACAGAGTTAATTAACAGAGCATTTACGTTGATAATCATGTCAATGAAGCAGGAATATTGACAGGAATATAATATTAATGATAGAAAGAGTTAACACAGGCGTTTACTTACCGTTTGCCAGTAAGTTAGCAGTTCCATACCTAACACTTTTGTCATCACATAAAATGTGTGCAAATAAAGTATCATAGAGTTCTTAATACTTAGTCGTCCGAGAATTAAGTCTTTTATGATTCATTCTAGTCTTACATGATTACTTGCAAAGGGACAGGGAGTGTATAGAGAGGATGCTCAGAGTTCGACAAGATGATGATCGCCTTTTTCTTGGATGAGTTCAAATGTCTGTCCACAAGAGTATTGGCAAATTGGTTTAGTGACACCTCATTCGCCCTGATGATAGCTTTCAGTGTCTTTCGAAATGTAACAAAGCCTTTCTTAGATAGCCCACGATAGATTAAGGGGGAGAAATGAAGAAGAATAGGTAGAATATAAGCATCAAAAAACTGTAAGAGTGATACTTTCTTCTTAAAAAACCAATACTAACATAAGATAAACATTCTGTACAATTGTATAAATATCTAAAATAAACAGAAAAGAAAATAATCCTCTCTTTCTTTCTTATTAACTTATTCTTACCTGAACAAAATGTAAAGCATAGAGATCATCGAATAGTTCATCATCAGCCATTCCTCCATGTATATACAGTTTTCCTTTTGGAATACGATGTTCAGCATTTGAAGTTTCCGGCTGACACGGTGATTCATAAAGCATTAAATGACCTAACCGTGAACAAGGTGAAATACCCTCAACTGGTATTTCAATCCATGAATCCAATACACTATCATACATATGTACCTAGAAAATATGAGAATACTTCAAGTTATTATTATCATTACCACAACAAAAAACCAGTACAGCAAGATCTTTAAGACACTAATCACACAAATAGTGCAAAAATAGAGAGAGGTTTATGGCTGAGGTAGATGCCTTCAGTGTTGTTCCATTCTCTGAGTGGAACGGTTTAATTGTGAAGCTTTCTCTTTTTTTTTCTTTTACACAACATCTTCAGCACTAACTTCGCCAATAATAATAATAATACCAGAATGGTTTAACCTACAACCGATAATCCAGGTAGAATATATGGTACTATTCAAATTGATAAGACAGGATACCCTAGTAAGCCAATAGTTTATTTTTTTACGAACACCCCGACTTATGAGTTATCTAAATATTTAGCATGAATATTATGTCCCATTAGAGACTGGTCAAGTTTTATGCTAACTAATTCATATGCAATGAAAAGAAAACTAGATAAAATTCAAATAGAAAAGGAAGAGAAAATGATTAGTTTTGATGCAGCAAGCTAATACACCAATGTTCTAACTAACGCTGCTCTGGAGGCAATTACAAATGAACTGGACGTTGATCCTGAACTCTGAAATAGGACAGAACTCTTGCTCGATGAAATAATTCTAGGTCTGCAAAGATGTCTAACCTCCACTAAATTAAAGTTCCGAAATAAAATGTACAAACAAACAAACAAACGAAGTGGCGATGGGATCACTAATATTCCCAAAACTTGTGGATACTTACGGATAGTTGGGAATGTAAAGCTCTTAAGACATTAAGTCCTGGTCTTAGGTTATAGTGGAGATATGCGGATGACACATTCATTGATAAAATCTGAAAATATTCTTACATTTTTCACATGTATAAACTCACTCACTTTTGAGTCATAAAATGAAGAATAGGACGAGTTAGCTACACCAGACCGTAAAACAAAACGGGAAAAGGGTGATGGGTTAAATACTGTCATCTATAGAAAACCAGCACATTCTAATAAATACTTAGACTTAGATTCATCCCACCTAAAATCTGTAAACGTAGGTTTTACTGGAAGTCTGTGGTCAAATTTTGATCATAGTTCATACAATTTTGTTTATTATATTTTGAGATCTATTCACGACTCATGATTGAACGAACTTATTTCTGACTAAGAACTTGAACTTATAACAAAAGCGCCACTACAGGACATAATGCTGAGAGTCCAGCTAAGCGCAACTTCTACAATATTTATATTCAAAGGGAAAATATACAATCAAATTGAGGGAGTTGCCATGGGGCCACCAATATCCCGATTGTAGCAGATATATTCGTGCATTGGTGAGAGAACCTAGTGATTGAAACGTTCAGCCCCACCCCAAAAGTGTGGTAAAGGGGATGTGGGTGACACATTCACGGTACTTAGAACACAGGACACAAATCGATTTTTCGAACACATCAACTCGAGGGCAGGGGCAATTCAGTTCACCTATGAATTGAAAATTCAGGAAGGGGGGCTTCCAATGTTAGATTTTAGTGTAAAAAGGAAAGAAGATGGGAAGTCAAGCACTATTGGTTACAGGAAACACACACATTCAAACCAATGTTTGGATTTCCCATCATCCCATCCACTGTCAGTAAAAAAGGATTAGTGAAATGTTTAAGTAATAGGGCGCAAAAACTAAGTAGTACCGAGGAAAAGTAACAGGGAAAGATAGGAAGTGAGATATACAAGAGAAGCTTTGAAACTTAATAATTACCTTGATAAATTATTCAGGAAGTATGTACAGAAATGTAATACTAAAATTAATAATAATGGTAGTGCTAATAATAATATTAATGGCGACATGAATGTCAGACATGCACAAAATAATGGCAACACAAACAATAAGGAATCTAAATCATCAGTAGTACTTCCATACAAATAATTAACTTCGGAAACCTTACGGAGAATTCTTAACAATGCATGAATAAAAGCAGCATTCATACCAATAAACTAAATTAAAAACAAGCTTTGTCAGTCAAACGATCCTGTGGAGCCTTTAAAACAAATCAATTTAGTCCATCTAGTACTCTGCTGGAATGATTGTCAAGTCAAATATATAGGTCAAAGTAGTAGAACAGAGGCAGTCAGACTAGCAGAGCATAGAAACTTAGCAAAATCTAGATTTGTTGACCCTAATAAGATAAGAAATCTGGAGAATAGTTCAGCTATACCACTCACTACATACAGTTACACACAATCATACAATAGGATGGATGGGAAAAGATGACAGTTTTAAAATCTATTATAACAGGATGGAGGGAGAGATTGATAATAGGAGCTTTATTTATTGAATCGACTGCAAATACATATAATAGGAATGATTCAACACCTGTCCACCCAGACATCTGGAAAATTCTACTACCCATACAATAGAGAGTAAAGAATAAAGAAAACTATAAAAACCAAGTTTCGAAGTCATGTGATTATAATTGATATTAGTATGAAAAATAGTGTTCGAAACTTCATCCAGTAAATAATACTGTTTCAGTGTTTGATATGTCCAATAAATAAATTAATATGGAGTTATCTAGGCTCCATCACTTCGACCACAGGCGGAACGGATGAAGATGTCAAAAGTAGCCAAAATCGGAAGGGCAAGATACAACTTCATCAACCTGAAATCAGTTTGAAAATCTTCTGCACTCAGCATAAACAACAAGATTTGAATTTTTAACACAAATGTTAAGTTGATCTGTTCTTCTGAATGGGTCAGAAACTTGGCCGAAACGCCAGGAAAGGGATTTCCAACAGGTTGCAGACTTTTATCAACAGCTGCCTTTGTTTTATTTTGAAGATCAAGAAGTCAGAGTGAGTTAGTAACAAGGAACTATGGGGACAAACTAATCAAGAACCTATCGTTCAATAAATATGTAGGAGGAAATGGAGATGGATTGGACATACACCAGAGACAATTGAATGACATCACGCGCCAGGCCCTCGAATGGAACCCCAATGAGAAGCAGAGCTGATCGTTCTACGATGAGATAGAGGAGATCATGAGAGGAGATGATAGATTATGGATAATCGTGGACCCAGCTAAGGACAGCAGAAAATAGAACAAACTGATGTGTTGTTGAAGCCTTAAGTGCCACGCGGAGCCTAAGGGAACTTTAACAATAAAAGAACTATTGATCTTACTAAATGGGACAGAGTGAAAGTATTAAATATGAATATACTTAGGTGGAGAGATAGGGGGAAGTTAATCACCGAATCTTCATTCATAGAATCAATATCAAACCCGAGCAATGGAAATGAAGCAGCGCCTATACCGATATATGGAGAATTACAATGAATAAGCAAGGGGGAAGAAAAAATCGTGCGCAAAACGTCATCCAGTTATCAATAATGTATCATTGTGTTACATAAAATAAGCCCATCTGATATGAAATTATATTCTACCACTGTGTCCAAATTCTACACTTAAAATAATCCTAAAAACATTTAATAAATATTGGACTGTACAGACATCCTACTTACCAGCTGACAAGTATTTCCTTGCTTTAAAATCAGGAGGTAGGTATCACGAATTCTAACTAACTTTCAATTTACATCAGCTAATTTTCTTACAAAACACTTGGTCTTGTCCGAAAATTTTAGCTTAAATAAAAAATACTAAGAAATTCCCCAATCGGTCAACGTTGGGAAACTTTCATCTAGTAACATATAAGTGACCATCATTGTGAAGATAAAGATCAACGTGAGGAACATGAAATATGGAGGGTGAAGTGAAGTGAAACAAGTCTACTTATATCAAGAAACTCTGAGTATTAGTGTTAATGTCCCTCAGTAAGTAAGTCAAGAAAGCAATTAGACTGCCATGCATAGAAGATTCACTCATAGGAAACCAGTGGTAATTATGAACATGAACATCAAAATAATTGGTACGTATAAACGTACGACACAAACTCAGTTTCTTAATGTAAGGTGTTATTTGCGGCGTCGGTGGCACAGCGGTTAGGATGCTCGCCCACCATGCACATGATCCAGGGTTCGATCCCCGGCCGATGCACTCCTTTACCTCGCTAAGCCAGAAATAATGCTGGTAAAGAGGAAAGGTTGGGCAAGGGGCTAGCAACCTCATCCTGTAAAAATTAAACACTGCTACAGAAACTTCAAGCCACTAGCTTGAGGCCCTATATTTTATTGGGAATGTGAAGAAAAAAAATTATTCACGGGCTTCATATGTAAACACAAGAATTAGGATAGCACAATCAAATGAATGAATCATATGCGACCGGAAATAAACTCTTTGTAGACAGCTGTAAAGGTCAGTTCAAGAATGACAGACATATAATATCTGATTAACACTTCCTAACTCTGTAGACTATTTGTTAATTGCCTCTCTGAGAAAAATCACAGACTGGAATTATGTAATCTATTAGAAATAATGCGACAACAATAACATTGTCGCTAAACTAAATCCTAACATAAGCCTTAAACAATATGATATTCTGATTTTAAAAATATACAATACACAGGTTCAATATAAATTTAAATGCTTTATTTGCACTTGTTATTAGAATCTAACCAAACACTATAACGCTTAAGTTATTCTGTACAAACCAACATCCATCTACTTCATTAATTAGGAATGCATTGACAATTCATAACTTATTTGATTGTCTCACCTAACCATCGATATATAATGTAGATCAACCGTAAATAACAAACAGTCAGCTTTCAGCATTAAAAATAGAAAGAAAACGAGATTATAGAACAAAGCATTATTACGCTTGTAGTTACTTTGTCATCTGATACTGTCTGACTGCCAACATCTCCACCAGAGAATATTAAGAGTTGATCATATTCTGTAAGTGAAACAGATGAATGTTGTGTACGCAATTTACAAGCAGGATTAGTATGATTGCTAATCTGTTTTATACTTCCAGTGAATGACTGAATTTCAAAGACTGATGAATTCTCTGTTGGTACTGAAAGATCATCAAGTTGTAAACGGAGTAATTGATTTAAAGGACCTGATTTTGTCGCACCACCAAATATCAATAGCTCCTGAATAAAGTTACATAATAAAACGTAGATGTATTTACAATAAAAGGGAAAAGAGCTAAGCAGAAGAGTTTGAAAAGTTAGCCAAACTCCTTTTTTAAAAAGCGGATGAGAATCGAACTTCTATACCAGTAGTATACAGTGCAGACATTTTGATATTGCACTGACTCAATTGTAACAGGTAACAGTACAGTAAAATTTAAATCAAACCAGACAAGTGGAAGATTTGTGCAGGCTTAGCTTATATCAAGGACCAAATCAGGTAGGGAACTATAGGACAATGAGAGACACTAAAAAGAAGCTTTTTAGCTTTGAAATTTTGAATAATGCATGAACCGAAAAATTCCAGGTCACAAGCTGAGGACATTACAAATTAATTGGTGGGAAGGAGACTAATGAGCCATTACCTACAACCTGTGTCAATTTTCATAAATAACTGTTCTCAAACTCGATTCGACAAGCTCATTCAGTCACAACTCACTAAAAGTTCGAAAAATCTATTTTCGAGCTACTGAATTATGATCAATAGGTTAATACTGAGTCAACTTTCAATTACACATTATTTTCTAAATATGCCTAAAAGTCACACGACAATAAAACTTTCCCAACGTTGGTAAACTTCACAGCAACATAACTAGAAATGAAAACCTTTATATAAATCAATGCTACAATGCATAAATTGCTTTGCATCCATATAGTGTCGTGAAATCTTAAAAAGCATCTTCAGTTTTGTAGGATAATAACGTTTTCGTTCGATTTAAGTAAATCTAATTTATTAAACAAAACAAAATTTACTATGCTTAAATATTTTCCTAAAGAAATTCCAGCTTTTTCTAACAAGTTAACATTTGAACACAAACTTGTGCCGAGCTAACAAGTTAATCAACCAAAATGAACCTTCTTTAGGAACATGAAGATCTAATACATCATTAGGAACTTATATGAACCATTAAGCCACTGGGATCCGATCCAATGGCCCATGAATTCTAACTTCTGCCAATTCATGACACAGCGCAACCACTTTGCAATGTCTTCTTCGATGAGTTACTGCCTCACGTTCAACCTGCTGCACCCTACTGCCCACGGCTTCACACAAGAACTCCAGGTCACTGGCTGAATAGGGCTAGTAGTGTACATCAGATGAATTTTCGAGTATTGATTTTTGAAGGGATTTAGTTTGATTGGATGGAGGATGTCATCATGAGCTGACATCAGTTAGAGAATCATTGGAAAACCTGAGAGTAGTGGATAGCTCTTTCATCCTAGTCCGTGACTCTTCACAGGTAAGCACACGTCGGGGTTCGAACCCAGAACCTTCTGGTCGAAGGATGAAAGATCATAAAAGAGGAGAGAAAATGACACACATCGCCTTCAGCCTGCTGCGAACTTTAACCAACAGATGCCCTCCATCGATGCTGGAGATCACATACCTGACCGAAACAAATATACGACAAGGAACTCTAGCAACGAGCTAGCCGGTAACACCCAACAAATATGCTGAAAAAAATAGAGTTGAAATGGATATATAATGAGGAGACACTCGAGTGACACCACACGCCAGGCCATCGAATAGAATACGAAGTTTAATGTTGGGAATCCAAGTATAACTTGGAGGAGATCATGTGAGGAGGAAATAGAAGATTGTGAGTAGTTGTGGAATGTGCTGAAAGTGATGGCAGTGGACCTCGTGCGATGAAGATGTGCCCCTGAAATCATGTGTCCTACTCGGAACACAAAGCACAAATAACAGCAGTATGCTGAGAAAGCTGTCTACGATAAAGATTCTTCATTCATTTATGCGATAGTTTCTATTGTATACCATGTAAAAATGCAATGAAACAACTGTATAAACTTTCTAAAAATAGATCAAACGCCACGACTTCATGTCGTCAATAACGTAGAACGTATAACATCTTACAAACGTTAGAAATTTACTAACAGAGCGATTATTTAACTTAAGCTAGATCAGTATACCAGAGTTACAGAAATTACGATGTGTAGTTCTGGGGAAGTAGGCTGGATATTTGACTCACAATGAAATATAAACCTTTCAAAAATCCATTGGTTTCACATGCACTTGCTTTAGTGAGAAAAAAGAATTATTCATTAAGTGTTAGTAACTCACTTGGTTGCACAATAATGCACTACTATGCTCATATCTTCCCAAACTTGGAAAATCTATTGCTTCTGACACACTAATAGTATGCCATCTGCACGACGATATATCCAGAATATGCGCCTCATTAAATACTGCTGAGGGATCCGCACCACCAGTAATAATAACCAAAGGCCGTTTGCCCCCATGCACCGAATTTATATACAAAGCATGAGCTGTGTGTCCAACACGCCCAGTTGGTAAGTAACTCCCATAAATGTGTGGTACCCCATACCTTTGTTGAAAACGTCAGTAAACCCATAATTCGGAATGTGAATTATTTTACAGTAAGAATATAACGCTGAATGAAAGCATAAAATTAATAATATAAAAATCCAAGGTGTCCAACTAACTTTAAAACATAATATTTTCATATGCAAGAGGCGTATTCTAAGCTGAACGTTTCTCACTGTCATTGGGACACTACTTGTCGTTGGATTAGGTGAATATAGATACCTTCAAATTTTTAAGGCCAACTATCATAATAAACTATTTCTCTTGCCTTAGTTCAAGGTTAGTTGGTTATTTCAATCAGAGTAACATGTCTAGACGTACACACTGCACTTTATTTGTAAATATTGCAATATTTTGCGGGAAAATGATCCAGATCAATCATTAGATGGCCTGTTCACTCTTTGACTGGACACTAGGTAGTAACTAGTGTCATGCACATAGTCCTTGGTTTGAAGCCGACCGAAACTGTCAAGTTGGGAGTGCGGCCACCATGCTAGGTGGCTCGCCATCACGATGCACTGGGAATAGCTGTTGTTAGATAGTTGGACACAATCGGCAGGAACATGGCAGGGGTGGGGAATAGTAATGTATTCTGTTGCATATTACAAGCGAGCTAATGAATACATACAGAGTAGTTACTGACTGCATCACATTCCTAGAGACATTGGTTGGGTTGACAGAGCTCGAAGACAACTACTTCGTACTCAGTATATATATATATATATATATATATATATATATATATCTGCATCAGACACCTCCATTTAACGATATTGCATCACGAAATACTCCCTTCAACAAACATAAAACACACACAACTTACTACTGATGGTCTCAATGAAAATATCAACACCCAACTTCGGACTTAATATATAAATACTGAAAGTTCTATTCAAACCATAGTGATTCGAAAGTGATTAAGTTTTCCCGCAGCCTAGGACATTAAAATGTAAGCTATCCTACGAACAATGTACCTACATATTTGGAAATACAAATTGCAATCATCCAAAAGAGAAATTTAGTAGATGATCGAGGTCGTGCTTATAAAGGTTCATGATTATTTAAGTGGAAGTATTGAGAGAATAACCTACGTTTTTGTTCCTTGAAAATGAACATTTAATTTCGATGGTGGTAAACACAGCCTACTTTTAACCATCAGCAAGACAACACAAGAAAATCATAAAATAAGACCTATTGTTTGGTAAAACTCTAATTCTTTGGACATCGGTGAAAGTTACCTAATTTTAGAATACACGACTACAAATAATCTCTAACGTACATCATGCTCATGGATAAAAGAGCGTGAAACTCAAATTAAATTAGGCCACAAAATATTCTCGTGAAAAAGACAGAGCTTTGTTCAGTTTGACACTATGATCTCATAGTGAGAGTTTTCGAGTACTCATATACTAATCAAGCTGTAAATCAAAAATAAATAAATAAATAAAACTAATCAGTTAAAAGGTCCCTTCATGGTCCTGGGACCCAAATGCACTTATTTAAGTTAGATATCACACAACAGTTTTCTCTGTTTCGCTAACGATATTCATTGGAAAATGTATACTATGAAGAAAACCGACCCACGAAACTGCTTACCAAGATCCTCTCACATTTAGTTTTTTAAGTAAATCTTCCATATTACAACAACACACAAACTTTTGAACGCTGAGAATGCTCGTGTTGTAGAACTTCTTTCTTAACAATAATCTTAGTATTGCCACAACCGGTATATGTAGAGAGGGTTGATGAGTTTCCAAACGTCAAATAGATTGCTCGCGGGTTCGTTTTAAGGGTCAATTTGTGTACGTTCCTGGCAGGATCTTCGTAATAATCATTAATAACATAATTATTCACTTCAGAACATTTGTCTACATCTTTACTAACACTGGACATGAGGCAAACATAATCCACCACTCCAATACATAAAACCGGTGTTTTGTTTCGCAGGTAACGTCTCCTTCAAACAAAATCCAAACAGATTTTAATAGAGAACAAAGGCTCTAGGTCTATTTCAGTTATTTTCTAACAAGTATGTGGTGATTGACAATTTCTATCTCTGTATTGTTTAAAATACTTACTGTTGACTGTTGATATGTTTCTTATATGAATTGCATAATAATTCCGCTAAATACAAATTCCTGATTTCTGCCCTCTCTGTGTTTTGGTTGGATTCGTGTAATTCGGTCATCTCGAAATACTAATATTCCAAGTACAATAAATTACTACAAAGTATCTGTGCATTTACACCTTCTTTTGGAACGAGTCAATTCAGAGTGTAGATACCACTTATCCCTCTCGTCTGTTCCAGGAATTATTGACTTGTCGAATGCCCGATATTCCTTTTATTAGCTAGAGTAAATCAAACTGATTTCTGTGCGCTACCTTCTTAGCTCTAAGGTAAAGGTAACCAATCTTCGGTATATTGCATAACGCCTCCTGCCATTCGACTGTCGTGGCTCCCGCTGACTCCAATGAGAGTGATGCTGAGATTATTCATATACAGTTTGCGATATGCTATGTGTAAAGAATGTCCTACCCGTTAGTTGTCGGGTGTAGTTAAAGAGAGATATATAAATAATAATCAATATGCGGTGATTGACAATTTCTATCTCTGTATTGTTTAAAATACTTACTGTTGACTGTTGATATGTTTCTTATATGAATTGCATAATAATTCCGCTAAATACAAATTCCTGATTTCTGCCCTCTCTGTGTTTTGGTTGGATTCGTGTAATTCGGTCATCTCGAAATACTAATATTCCAAGTACAATAAATTACTACAAAGTATCTGTGCATTTACACCTTCTTTTGGAACGAGTCAATTCAGAGTGTAGATACCACTTATCCCTCTCGTCTGTTCCAGGAATTATTGACTTGTCGAATGCCCGATATTCCTTTTATTAGCTAGAGTAAATCAAACTGATTTCTGTGCGCTACCTTCTTAGCTCTAAGGTAAAGGTAACCAATCTTCGGTATATTGCATAACGCCTCCTGCCATTCGACTGTCGTGGCTCCCGCTGACTCCAATGAGAGTGATGCTGAGATTATTCATATACAGTTTGCGATATGCTATGTGTAAAGAATGTCCTACCCGTTAGTTGTCGGGTGTAGTTAAAGAGAGATATATAAATAATAATCAATATGCGGTGATTGACAATTTCTATCTCTGTATTGTTTAAATACTTACTAATGATTGTTAATTTGTTTTTTATATGAATTGCATTATAATACCGCTAAATACAAATTCCTGAATTCCACCCTCTCTGTGTTTTGGTTGGATTCGTGTAATTTGGTCATCTCGAAATACTAATACTACGATTACAAATAATTGCAACACAATAAGTGTATATAATTATTGCTGATTGCGCAAACGTTAAAAAGAAAGACATGGAGACAGATAGAAAATGAAATACAAAATTATAATAATATATAAATAAATAAAATAACAAATAAGTAAATGAATAAGCAGGATAACCACATTCTTCAGAAAAGTGTTCCAGTGGTGGCAAACTCAAAGTTACTAGAAATGAGAGCCTGCTTAAATCTTTGCTCTCTGGTGCGCTATCATCTTTGGATTGCCATGAGAAAGCTGTACACCTACGTTCTGGTGTTTCCTGTGGTTTTCAACTTTTTGAGTAGTAGTATTGCCCGGAAGCTGACTAATGCTGAGTGTGAAAATACCTAGTTTCTTCAACCTTTCATCAAATAGTTTGTTTCGGAAGACCGTCAGCCGTTCTGAAGCCTGTCTCTGAACCCTTTCCAAAATATTAGTGTCCCATTTAAATGATGAGAAACAGAAAATACTGGTTGAATGAGCAGTGCACCATGGAGATACAGTTGTGCCGTAGCTTTTAAACTGTTGCTACGTCCTCAGAGGTTATCCTTAATGGTAGAAAAGGAGTAGGTAAGTAGATAAAGTCCATGGTAATTCCTAGGAAGAAAGTTTCCACTCCCTGTCTCCTTTCAACAGGAAGTTCTTGGACCCAGCCCACCAGGATACCATCGACTCATAGATTCTCAGATTCATGAGTTGCTTAACGTAATACACGCTACTGAAAGCCTTACCAAATTCTACGAAAGTAGTGGTAATTGATCCCTTATTCCATTGCTCTATGACCTGTCAGTGTTTCGCCCAAAATCCACGTTGTGATTCGTTCTTTAAATATGCCATGACAGCTTTCTTTCTTTTCCTGAGTCCCGATCAAGGTGCTGGCGGGACTAATAGACCTGTGGTTTTATAGACGAAGCCTAGAAATTCCTTTTTTCATACCGCTTACTGTCGAACCCATCCTGCCTTGCGGTAACACGCCAAAAGAAAGGGTTAAAAGGAAGATACTGGTTGCCCCAGTAGCTAATGTGAGCTTCTGCAATTTGAAATGCACCGGAAGAAGACAACTGGGTGCCACTGATTTTCTTCTACCTAGTTTCCGACAGTGTGTATCGAATCTCATTGGGGCATCACTGGAGCTTATTATACTGCTGATGAAGACTGCCGTAAAGCCTTCAAGAGGTAGTCTGCTATCGCCTCGGCTTTTTCTATATTCTATTTGATTGTCGCCGCCGGCACTCACGTCAGGAATGTGAGATTTTTCAGTCCTCAGGTATATATAGTAATCCAGCATCTTGAGTTGACCCCTTGTGTTTTAAGCCGAACCTATTCCAAATTTTGTCTGTGACTGATTAAAACCTGCCGCCGTGTGTGGCCTCTTGACCTATGAAGACTCGTTGACCGGTAGTACGTGTGATTACTTATAATGACACCGAACGAAACCATGAGTCTATTATTTTAACAACAGGGTCAATATTTTTGACCCTTCTGCACAGTCTGATGGGAAGATAATTAGGTTACTAGGGCATCTATTTGCTTGAACTTACCCTATGAGGCCTCTGCATGGACTCCCGCGTTTGTACTTCAATTTTTTAACGAAGCTGCAGAGTAAATAACACTTATATAAGCTATTGACAATTTCGGTCCCTTTGGGTTTGGTAATGAGATGCTAAAGCAACAGAGAATTAAAAGTGAAACACATTGTTAGCAAACTCCCATAAAATGTCAATGTCCAGCTCTTACTACGCTGGACCTCACGCTGTCCCGGGAAGACTTTCAGAAACAATTTGTATTAACCAACACCAAAAACCAAAACTCAGATTGGTGACTCGAGAATCCTTTATTCTTACGCCAACATAGGCGAAGTTAAACTTTCGACACCACTAACTACCAATCAGCGAATTATCCAGTGAGATTCACGAACGATGTCGAATTATCCAATGAGGTTCACGAACGCAGTTCAATGTTGTATAGCGCTTGATTCATTTCTAATGCGTGACCTTACAAGGCTATTGTTGCAATTCGAGGAGGTTAGCGTTTTCCAGTATTTCCTGGATTTGAGTTGCTCCGGAAAGAGCGAATTTGTTTGTGTGGTGGTATCATGACTTTAAAAAGCTATACCAAATCAACTGATGGGTTTGTTCATCGTTGTGCTATATATTTGAAGCCTACTAACGCTAGAGAGGGTAAGCTGATAATTTTAATATTTCGTAGGAACTTTTTTCGCTAGGTCGCTTCTCTCCCTAAGGATAGCAGATAGAAAGGCAAATACTCTTATACCTAGTATTACCAGACTTGTTAAGCGGGGGTCAATTATTCACACCGACGAGTGGAAAGGCTACAATTCACTGTCATCTCTGGGATCTATTCATCATAGAGTCAACCATTCAAGTGATTTTGTGGATCCCGTTACGAGGGCACATACAAATTCTATTGAAGGATTTTGAGGCAGGTTGAAAAAAAGGATAAGGGCTATAAATGGATCTCAGAAGGATCTCATTTATAGTCATTTGGATGAATATATGTACAGGATATGGTGTAACTTCTCCATTGACAGTCCCATGCTAAACTGGGAGATGTTTCTCTCACATGATCGAGAAAGATATCCCATGTAACCCTTTTTATTATCTATTTTATGCTTTTTTCTACAAATATACATTTCCATTCATCATATATGCCTCTTTAATGTGATTGGTCCGTTCGAGGTCGTTTGCTGATTGGCTGTTAGTGGTGTCGAAAGTTTAACTTTGCCCCAACATATAACGAACCATAAGGCTATCATACACAAGGTCTAGGAATAAATGTTATAACAATAAATCACGATAATACTTCTGATAGTTTTCGATCTTCCACTGAACACTGAACCATGAGACGATGACTGATGGATTCATGGAGTTGGGTTTGGGCAAACAACCATGCATTGATCGTTCAATCTTCAACTACATTCACAGTCCCCGGCAAAAACGGGATCCATGCCTTTTTTCCATCACGACCAATACACGTTGACCAAGCCCTGACACACTATTAGTCCTTCTGGCTTTTGTTAATATCAAGTATCTGCACTTGCTCTTCTTCTTGCATGAGGGAACTGACTTCTCGGTATTTCCCAGAAAGTAACAATACCGGCCTATGTTTATTACTACTGAGATTCATATTCATGTAATGGATGTGTATTGTGCCTGTAAACTCACAAAGTATATCCCGGCCAATACCTGTAAACTACGATTGTATTATGAGGTGTTATTATCTGTAACCAACTGATGACGCCCGTTACCTGGTATACTATATACAGTGTACCGTGAGAATAAA